CCGGCCCCGGTGCTCACGGCTGGTGCCCGGTGCCTGTCGCAGGGCACGCAGGAGGCTGGAGCAGTGGTGGATGCTCCATACAGCGCGGGGACGAGAGGACAGTCTGCTTCTGTGACCATCTCACCTTCTTCTCCCTCCTCCTGGGGACAGCCCCGCTCCCCGCAGCTCCTGCTCCTACCCCGGCTGTGCTGCCTGCCCCACCTGGGTGGCCCCTCGGGTGTCACCAGAGCTGCACAGGGGCAGTTGGAGCTGCCCCCAGGCAAGCCCAGGTCCTAGCACTGAGCCCAGCCCCAGCTCTGGAGGGTGGGGTGATGTTGGGGTCCCATCTCCTGGTGGAGGCTCCCCGGAAGGTGCTCGTGGTGGTCCACCATAGCTATCGCTCATCCCTCACCCCATCCCAGTGAGCAGTTCCTCTGAGCCACCACCACCTCAAAACCCCCCAGCCCAACGACCTCTGGGGGGGACAGCCCGGGGGTTTGTGTGGGGTCCCTGCAGCAGCCCACTGGGGTTATCAGACCCGTGGCTCTGGTAGCTCGAGGACTGTTGTGTAGGTTGCTCTTTCTGACCAGATGTGTGCATGCTGGGCAGAGCCCAGGTCTGGACAGGTCCACAGCAGAAGCCTTGTTGGCTGTTGCCACCACTGGCTGCGGGGTAGCCATGGCTTTCTCCATCTTCACCATCGCCTTCTGCATCTTCTTCAGGTAGGATGTGCCAGCAGCTCCCGGGCATTCGCTGGGCTGGGAGAGAGGTGGCGCAGCTCCAGTGCCTCTCCATGACCCTGCTGTGATATGGCATGGGCCCCCGCTCAGCTGTGACCCCCACCTTTTCTGCTCTCTCTGGGGACGCTTAGGTGGAGGTTCAGGTCCGAGGAGACCCTCCGCACCAACCTGGGGCTGCACATGAACCTTGTGGGCAGCCTGCTCCTCCTCAACCTGGCCTTCCTGCTCAACAGCGGGCTCTTCACTGGGACGCAGCCGGGGACCTGCAAGGTGCTGGCGGGGCTCACCCACTACTGCCTGCTCTGCTGCTTCACCTGGATGGCTCTGGAGGGCTGCCACCTCTACCTCCTCTTCGTCAAGGTCCTCGGCACCTACATCCGCACCTACCTGGTGAAGCTGTGCCTGGTCGGCTGGGGTGAGCTCCACCAGCCTGGGCGAGAGCTGAGGGGAGAGGGGGGCAGTGGGTTACGGCCAGAGGGGGAACAAGGGGATGCGGGGATGGGCAGAGAGCGAGCAAGCCCCCGCCCTGCCAGCAGCCCTTCCAAATGTCGTGGCCAGGGCCAGGACGTGCCTTACGTGGGCTCGGTGGACCAAATTGGGAGCAGCACCCACAGGCATCCTCCATCCCTCTGGGGACCAGCCTCCTGCTCACTCAGCAGGCGATGTCCCCTGGAACCTCCGTTCCCGTCGCCAGCCCTCCTGGGGGGTTGGCATGGGAGCAGACGGTCCTGAAAGAGGTTAGGGGACACCTCCAGCCCCGCTGCCCAGTGCTGCTCTTCC